GTACTACTGTACGTAAGTAAACCTATCCACCGTCCAGCAACAAAACATTTTTGGAGTAAATTTTTTCGGATTATACATTTTTCGGATAAATATATTTAAAAACGTTATTTTTACATTTAGTAACAACAAAGACTATCTACCTTACTCGGGAATATTATAACCGGGATAAAGTGGTGGGTTTTGGAAGATTCCGCCATATTTTTCCCGGTCAAAAATTTTACCAGTCATAAAAAAACCCGCCGACTCAGATTATGGGGTTCCAAGGGGGTGGTGATCATCATATTTTACCTGAAGTCTCATATGTGCTAGAGAAGACTTTTGAAGCAGTGGATGGAGGGCTGTAACTTTATTGGCGGTTGCTACCATAATTTCGTTATAAAAATCACAATTTGGTTATAGAAATCAGTTTTCAGGGTGGACCGTGATTCTCACTTCTCTTGCCCATGAATCAGTGAATCGTAGAGAAGAAAACAATTTATATGTTATAGAAGAAAACGAAAATAATAATAATATATAATAATAATATATAATATATATTATAATAATAATGTCTCTAAAGATTGATCGCTTCTCGTGTGCAGTGTGTAGACTAAAGAAAGAGGGAGTTTTCCCGTTAAAGTAACTTGTGGCCACATCCCGCTAGAAGTGAGTAAACTGTGCCACTATTTCATGGTCCAAGGTGGATTGATTACTGGAGCAGTTGAAGATGCAAAGCCAAGACGTTCCCCAATACCAAGCGGTGGGCAGGAAATTAAGCTCCGGCTGACCTTCAAAGCAGTAGCCCCATTAGCTGACAAAATGAAAGTCTTGTTAAGACAACAATACAACTTCGAATTTGACGGTCAGCAGCTCAGGGGGATATCAATAATGATAATGGCGGGGACATTAGCGATAATGAGAATGAGAATACGCTTTAATGAAGATTTGACTTATTATTGCTTAGATTTATTTTCCTTTAAATAGACGTGTCTTTTTTTTCTATTTCTGAGTAATATCAATAACTGTAAATTGAAATAACTTCTTTAACAAGTAATAAAAACATAAATTTCGGTTGCAAATTTGTTGACCTCTAAAAAAAAACTTGAAAGGTCGGCCACCGGTAAATACATGACCGGGATAATTTGGCGGGTTTTGGGAAAGTCCGCCATATTTTTCCCGGTCATTAATTTTCCCAGTCATAAATTAACCCGCTATAATATTCCCGAGTAAGGTATCTTATTCTGATCATCTATCTAACCTAACCACGACTACTACATACTGCTCACGACTACTACAAACTGCTCACGACTGATGCCCCTAAATAGGGACCCTTGGCTGCCTGCAGTCTACTCTGAGTGCCATTGCGACCTTATAAAGCTTAAATGGTGATGCACTCGGAACAGGACTGAGTAAAAATGTCATTATGACACGTGACACGTAACGTGACAGGACACATGACAGGTAAACTGCATATCTGAAACCACCTGTATCTAGAGAGACTAATATTTGTAAGCCTATATCTATAAGACTGTGTGTGCTCGCTAGAAATGAGATAAGACCCCCGCTAAGAAAAAGTAGATAATCGTCTCACATACTGGACATAATAATAAGTTATATGCTAACATTTTACATTCATGTCATAGAATCTGAGCGTGGTTTGGTATGTTGGAATGTAGGATTAGTGTGCGTTGTTTTGATGTGAAAATGTGGACATATTATACTGTATAATGCGTACAAACTCTACTAACGCCTCAATGCTTCTCACAATATTTGTTATGATACATAAAGCACTTTTAATTACGTTTATCATTATATAGAATATATAGAATATATATTTATATTTTATATAATTAGACTTTATTCTTCTTTAACATTTCCCAAAAGCGCACCATTACTGAAGCAATATAGAGAGCCTCTGAAGTTAGTGTGGTTTCCCAACCTTACACAGCTTTAACACAGCTAGAAATGACATATTGACAGTGAACAGGTGCAATGTAAATCATACCGTTGTCGTTTTCTTAAGTCACGTACAGCTCTTAAAAATATTATGGTGTCTTCTTTCATTCTGTAAGCTGCAACCCAGACAGAAGAATTTTTATGGTAGGAAACAACTGAGCTTCCCATTTTTCTACAGAATTGTATCATTCTCCTCCTAATGTTTTAACCGTCTACCAGCGCAACTTGAGGATTTAACATTATCGTATTGCCTAACACGTGAATACTGAATATACACCTATAAAATAACTAATGAAACTAGAAAGATAATTCCAACGTGTTTTACAAGAGTTACAGCTTCTAGAATTACCATAGAAAATGTATTTACGGGTGTAGGACAGGTAATTGTAGTTGAATATTATGTTAATATATGCGCGTGTATGTACATTAACCTACCCGAGGGCTGGTAGGGTAGTAGACACAGTACAATATACACGTTATCATACGTCTAGACGCGTATACTACTGTCTAGGCTAAGTAGCACGTGGTTAACAGTACAATGTGCACGTCTACTAGCTACCTTACCCTGCACTGAATACCTTACTCTACCTTCCTCCTTACCCTACATGATAGGTTTAATAGCAGCCACGCCAATACACCTTCTAGAAGGAATCCCAGGAATGAGGTTTTGTGTGTGATCAGAGACAGAATACTTGTGGAGTACATCACATAGGTCACATAGCTGGTCACAGTGTTTACAGGGATCAGTCTGATAAGCAATTACCAAGTAAATCAGGAGGGAGTGGCTGCCTACTCCGCAAGCAATTAGCGTGTTATTAGTTGTAATCTTAATTACTAGATCCAGTACACACCACTAACTAGCGAACAGTGTACTCGTCAGTTCGTCTCTTCTCTCCGGGAATGTCACGTGGTTTTAGTACACAAGGTGACATCACCAAAATATCACTTACAACAATGCATATTTGCTGATCAATACCTCCAGCCGTCAGGTGTAGTTTATTTAAATGTACCATTGTTCGTCTCACACAATACATAAGTAGCGGAGTTTGCCGGAGTCACAGTAATAAGTGCAAATGAGAAGGAGACACGCCTTGTTTAATGGTGGAGACAAGCGATTGTGATCAGGAGGATTATATATGTACTGCAACTAATCATAATTATATAATTATATACTGCAACTACTCATAATTATATATAATTATATACTCAGCGGTATTATTATACGACTAACTTTAACCTTGGTTAAATATAATAAATTGTATAATAATTTTGGTTTGCTCAGAAATTGATGCGAGGTAAAGGTTACAGTTTAGTATTTAGGATTGTCTAGTTAAGTTCATAACCTTAAACCTGACCTTAATTGTTACTATAATTATTTTTAAAGTGTATATAAATATTTAACACACACAATTAGGGCGTTCGGGGCGTATTTAATGAGATAGCAAGAAATCATCATGTTATCAACAATTCTTAATGATTTCGTCAAGTATGATATCAACTTTCAGCTATAATCTCTGTAGCAGAGTAAATATTTTAATTAATGTAAAAAACCTATTAAATACGTTAATAGGGGATACTTCACGACCACCCACTAAACATTGTCACTGCTACAAATATCTCCACCTTAAATGGATCTCATTAATCTGGTTCTGATGTCTTTCAGTGCAGTTTTTAAATTAATCAGTAATGATTAAATGATAGAGTCTGTGACCATGATGTCATTTCTTTTTATGGACCACAAGGAAACATGTGAGCATTGCATTGGTTGGCCAATAAGCCATAATACTCTTAGGTACCTACTTATATCATATAACTTATATTTAAAAGGTTATGCTATTTAAGGTCCGGCGTAAATAATAGAGTACGTTACGTGGTGACGCTTCATACCGAGGAGACACCCCCGCCCCCACTGTATACCTTTAAATATCTGTATACTACACCATGATCTAGCTTGCAAAGTGAGGTTATATGAGGATTAATAAGAGGTTTACCGAGTAACATATATGACGTGATATTATCATTAGTGAACATTGTAGACACCTTTAGTCATTACCATCTTATTAATTCTACTTAAGGTGCCTGCGTGGTGTAAATTGGTAAATGATATCATGGTTTTAAATATTTGGCACCATGATTATTATTTGTGGTATTTCAAATATTCAAGATGATTTAATCTAATGAGGCTAGGCAGGCTTTAATAATGGTGGAATTACCCTTGCAAGGCCCCCAGGATAATACAAGTGATACTAGAGGCTGGATTTAAGCCTTCAGATGTTGCTGAGTCGCATTGAATGATGTAATTTGGACAATCCAATAAAGATTTGACGAGTTTGATCAGAGAAAACAACAACACGAGATGATGTTAAACCGAAAAGGGATAAAAATTTGTAGCTTAACCGACAAATTCCGATATTATTTACACGTGATAAGAAACTAACTAATAATTGCTTTTCGTTTGGAACTAAAATACTCTTATACTGTAGTATACTGTTGTTTAATGTTTATACTTTTACGAAAAACTTCCTAACCCAAACACTCTTCTATTGTTTCGGTGTGGGTTATGAAAATGAACTAACCAAAATACTCTCTTATTGTTTCGTTGGTAGTTTTGTAATTGAGCATCCTGACAATGATCTTGCGGTCGTCCGCACCCTCAGATTCAAAGTAGGGGTCATCTGTACCTCCTGATGCCATGCTGAGTGGAGGAAAGTAGTTAATAGTTTTAATAGTAATAGTTAATAGTACTATGTTTACAGTTCAATACAATGTAGATTTACTGAAGGGGTATCCTTGTAAGATTCTCCATCTTTTAGCGGATACCCCTCCTGGCCTCCTCATTTAACCCTCAATCAAGTTTCCTAACATCCGGCTGAGTCAACCGAGGAGATCGCATAGATCCAATGGATCCTTAGCTACTTCCTAGACTAAGTGGAGTAGTATTTGTTACGACAAAAATATTACTGACGGTAAAGATCGGGCTTAGTGAATCTATGTATAACGATGGCACTTCAAGACCGATCCCAGATAAGAATTCGAATTAAACTTATCACAATAAAACTGCAGGATAGCTTAAAAGTAAAAGATAAAACAATTAGAGTTAAATAATAAGTTATATCATACTTTATTAATCAGTGAAGAAAGCAATATTACACTTCAAACAATTTAGTCGTATGATAAAGGATTTCGTGATTACAATACTCATGCACATGTGTGAGTGAGCGCTATTATACTATGTATCATTACTCGAGATTATTATATAATTTACTGCTATCAAATTCCCTTACAGAAAATGATTACCCATCCCAATCATTTCAAGGAATGATTAGTGTGAATATTAGGGGACTGACTAGTGCAGTGTAGCCATGGCAACTGATCGAGGGAGTACTGTCAACTGACTATATAATATAGTCTGTATTTATACATGCAAATTGCAAGGTGGACCAGAATTTACAACAATATTCTATGTGTAGATTATGTTCATTGTTGAATCTCTGTCAAGGCAATTGTAGCTGTTTTCATTGTATACCTCTCATAATATCTTAATAGTAAATTCTGGGTCACCTTCTCAATTACTGACCAGTCTGGGGCAGGCAAACAATCAAAGCATTTAAAACAAACAATTATCGATACTATTATTATGATAAATATATATTTCTGTTTCAAATATCAAACTTGAGAACAAGCAGGAAATAAAACTGTACTTAGGCTCTTAGGTTCGTCTTGATAGAAATATTAAATCATAACTTAGCGTTCAGTTAGACAAACACACACTCATGGCTACATACTGAATTTGACAGCAAAACTCAACTAGATACAAACTACAAAATGATAGATCAACATAATAATAATGTTTAAATATTCTCTACGTTTGAAGTCGGAGGATGTGTTTGTCCTCCTGGTAAAGGATCTCTTGCTTGGCCCCACACTGACTGACCCTGGCCACCTCCACTCTATTATCAGGAGGGGCAGAGTGTTCAGTCTGTCTGATCATGTGATCGAGCTGCTGTTGAGGGGCTAACTCTTCAGGGGCGTCCCTGCAGTCCTTTCTCCACCGGGACCTTCTGTTCTGAAACCAGTTCTTGACTTGCTCCTCGTGCAGACTCAAGTCAGTGGCGATTATCTGTCTTTCACTTGCTGATAGATATTTTTTGTCGTCAAAAACTTTTTCAAGATCTTCTATTTGTGTGTCTGTGAAATGAGTTCTTGGTTTTCTTGGACGTTTTTTCTCGAAAAATAAGGAGTTATTTGTTTTTCCATTGATATTCATCCGGGCATGTTTTATTACACCAGAGTTGAGGAGAAAATCAATTCTGTAGGGAAGAGGTTTGTGAGGGTCGTGCTGAGGGGGTGGTGGCAGGGGACAAATTTCTTTTTCTGATTCTTCTTTTGATCGGTTCTCTGAGTATCGCTTACTGCCTGAACTGGAACTGGTGTTATAGTTCCCAGTGTTCATACAATTGAAATCATTCTGGTTTGACTCAGTTTGCACAGCTTGGTCATAGTTCATAACATGTGCTGAATCTACTAACATAACTCTAGGCATGTCATGATCTGTGAAATGCTTGCAATGCTTCGGATCTGTAACTCCATTTGATTTGCAGGATTCACAGATTTGTTTCTCGTTTAAGTTTGCATTGCACTTTGGAGTGTGCTCCCAGTGTTCTATTAGGTGATCTGGTGTTTGAAACAAGCTCCCACAGCCAACACAAACGTGGCAAGAGTTGTAGGGATAGAGGGCATGAGCAGGAGCAACTGGAAGCATTTTCAAATAGGATTCATTCTCTTTAACATCACAGTCTTTAGACAAGTGATTGTTCACCTTAGTTACCTAGACATTAATTGGTAAGTTTCTCAGAGTAAAAAGTAATAGATACAATAAAAATGATGTTGAATCTATTGACAGTTACAGTGCTGCAAATTCTAGCAATTGTGATGGGTAATCCGGAATACATTCCAACTAAAAATATTGATTAAAACTATGTTTAATCCACATCCCAAGTTTTCTGCTTTTTACAAGCTCGTACACTTTAAAGTGACCCTGCAGAAGCTCAAGCTGCATAAAATATAATTATCTCATCTTTACTGCAAAATAAATTATCCCCCCCATTGCATGAGTGTTGATACAGAAATGTAGCACTATGGGGACCTCTTGAGAAATGCAGATTCTACATATTATAATGTCTATAAATCAAACCTGATGTTCATATGAGAGAATTTGTTGGCCATCATCTATACTGTCGTCACTCTCTGCCATGGCATTCTGAAGGAGAATCATGAAGTAATAATTAAACTTTTTTGTAAGCTGTCAATCCATATTACCATAAGAACGACAAATTTAGTCTACCATAAATTTAGTCAAACTTTTGACTAAAATTGTTGTAAACCAAATTTCATGAGACTAAATTTTAGAGGAGACCAAAATTTCAGTACAGCATATGACATGAATATTATTGAGCTTACATTGTTTATAATTAATATAATGACTTCACCGTTCCTACTGCTGAACTACTTTGTTGGGAGGAAAGACTGTTGTGGGAAAAAAAACTAGCTAAATAATGGAAAAATCAAATAAATGGAATGGAAAATGGTATCAAAAAGTCGAAAAATGTGACTAAAATTGTTGTAGACTAAAAAGATTTGCGAAATTTGCGACAAAGATTATGGTAACAAAAATGATGGTAATAATAATAATAATTATAAATTAATGTTATTTTTATACAGCACCAAAAGGTTAAATAATTTAAATTTAACCCTTATGCTCAGCTGTAAATGATACCTAAATGACAGTAGAGATCATGCATCTCGCCTTGGACAGGAGTAAAAACGGAAGTTTATAGCTGCAAGTAAAATCCTGACTAAATAAGGCAGATACACCTAACAAGAAGATATCCAAGAAAGGTTAGCAGGTTTTCTAACAAAACATAGATGATGACCACCAGAAATCTATGTATGAGACTCATCAGACTAACAAAATGATATGCAAGATAATAAAGATGAAATCATAAAATATTAAAATTTCTTTAAGAATATATAGAACTCCAAACATACAAACAATCTGAATACTTCAATATACAATACAAAATTATTAAAAAAGCTTACTGCAGAAGAGTAACTGACGTTACAGAAAATCTAATACAGTCATGTCAAATAATCTGGGCAACATACAAGTCTAGAGACGGTGAAATAAACAGAGTGAAATAAACATGGTAACCAAAATTATGGTAACCAAATTTGTTGTGAACCAAATTTATTGGCCCTAAGGTATATTGTTAACAGTACACTCCGTTGTAACTTACAGTTTAACTTGCTGTTTATTGCAACCTACCAATGACCACTAACCAGTCATGAGTCATGTGTGGTTGTCTCTCCTCGGAGGGGTGCTGCAATTGCCATCAAGACCTTGTCTACTGCATGGTAAAGACCCATAACAACAACTACACCAGGATATTTTGGATCTACAACTTGCCTTAAACCAGAGGAACCCTATTGAATGTCCATGACGAAGTCTTGATGGAGTCTACCACTAAGATTGGCCAATGAAAGTAGGATAATTTAGACATAATTTAGACATAACATGACGTGTAGCGCGGTGTAGTACTGGAACTGGGAAGGTGACTGTGGTTGTTAGTTTACACTAGTTTTGTGTGCTGTGTTTTGTTGGAATCCCCTGCTGTCGTGTTTGAAGTTGTTCTTTTGTAACTATTATTATTTTTGTTTATCGTAGCTTTATGAACGTAAAACTTTATGAACGTATGATTTTTGGTAATTAAATTATTAATATATTTTAGGAGAAAAGTGAGGGAAAGATGATAGTTTGGCCAGTAATACTTGTATAAGTCGCCAATGCACAATCTAAAGTTTGTGGACCTCAGTTAAGCCTTTCACTTGTTAATAAAGACTGTTATTCTAAAAAGGGAACACTATTACAAGATTCAAAAATCGTAATTTCAAAATCACCAAGGGTTAAATGCAGTGGTGTAAGGAAGAGGGGGGTGGGGGGTTGCCATCAAGAAAACAACAAATTTTTAAAAGAAAACAACAAATGTTTACCTTACAAGACATATTTATGTTCAACATAATTCCGGAGACCTAAATGATTTGGGAACGACAATATGGGCTTTTATTTCCCGAAAACCGCCACATTTCGTACCCCCAAATTAAATCATCTCATTATTTTACAAAAATGAAACCCAATATTTGAGAAAATTAAATACAAAGATCTTCTCTGGTCAGCTGTTTCATCTTGCAATCAATTTCTCTGGAGCCTTTGAAAGTTAGCCTAAACTTAACTTCTAATCCTCCAGACGGTTCTGGAGACAGACGGTGTCTGTTATCTTCCACTTCTCCAGAAACTTGATCACTGTGGCCAATATAGTAGTGACATTTGTGCTCTGCTTTAGCATCACTTGACTATTTTTTTTTAATTGTTTGTTCAGGCCATGACCTTATAGTCAGCCAATTGGCCATTGCTGAAATTGAATTACAACTATTGTGTACTCAATAAAGTAATTATCACCTTTGCATACTTTTAAAAAAATATAGTAGTGACAGAGCTTGCTTACTTTTAATGGAACGTGTCCAAAATCATTTTAAAATCAATTCATGATCCAATACTAGTGTTCATTTGCTTGATGAATAATAATTGAAACTTACTATATTGATAGTATATTGATAGTCATAGTTAAGGAAAATATGTGACAAATAATTTGGGGAAAATTATGTCGGTGACCTAAATTTTAGTCCGCAAATATGGTGTTTTTTTCGAAAAACCACCAACTTTCGTACCATTTAAATATGTCTGCTAAGGTATTTAAATCAGTCATCACCAATCATGAACTTGAGCAGCCATCCACAAAATAAAAGCGGCCGCATTTCTTATTATTTAAATCAATTATAGCAACAATTTTAGATACTTAAAAATACTCCATCACAACGGGTATTGTGACTTGAACTATTCAGTTGTTAAGTAGATTAAGATTAATGAAAAAGGCCCTGGAGTGGGGGGAACCAATTCATGTAACGTTACTGGGCCGCGCTCAGCCTGTCATTCCGCCTTGTTTAACAACATTAAAGCCTGGGGTCCCCAGGTAAATGTAACGTTATGCCACTGGTAGGGATGGGTGACTGGTTTGAAAAATCGTAAAGAAGAGAATTTAAACACTATACATAGCAATAGCTACTATACTGCCTAACTATATAATTAGGCACCCTAAAATTTTTAAAATTTATAAAATTGTGAGAAGGGGTAGATTGGATTGATTGGGGAAGATGTTAATTATTGATTTTCGGGGTCGTTATCCAAATTCTGGAAAGTGCAAAAATGCATCAGGCTTCCTTTAAATATACAATCTAAATTTCTTTACTGTAGCTGATAATTTTATTTTAGATTTGACTGTTGTAAATGGAACATGGAATAGAAGTTCTCTCAAGAATATTGCTGTTTTTTCCTAAATAGACTCATGAAAGTAAATAGATAAATATATAAGCCTCCCTAGTAAAACTTTAAAACCACTGGTCTCACACTTCAAAATTAATTACATACGTTGCATGTCACTGGACTCTTTTTCGATGTTTCTACTGTTAACTGTTAAGTGCATAAGAAAAAGAGACAAAATTAAAGAAAGACAAAATTTGTATTTACCACAAAACAATCAATACCAAATACATAATGTTATATTCATAAACAAATTCAAGTTTCAATTTCAATTTCAACCATAAGTACAGCACGCCGCGCACGAGCGTTCTAAATCACTCTACAGTCGATCTTCGAGACTGTTCTAAAAGAGCCCCCGACAGTTCAAACCTAATTCAATCGATGTATTTTCGAACGCTGATTCCGAATCACCCCCCATGACATAGGGTTAAAATGCTCCCCTGACGAGATATTGGCGAAAAACTGTCTCGATCACGTGATATGACCGTATAAGGAAGTTAGTCTAATTTCTCGTTAGGGTTAGGGTTTCAGCATATGCTTTTGTTAAGGATTGGGTTAGGGTTAGGGTTGTAGCGCGATGCACTACTGGGTCGCGCGCGCATCAAATAATGCTTCTCGCAACCAATGCTTCGGTAGATCGGCGAGATGCACCACTGTGCCTCACCGAGCTGCGAAGGATTGACATCGTGAATCAAGGTTAGGGTTGGGATCAGATTAAAGGGTTATGGTTTCGAATAGTCGTTCAGGACCAGCTAGAGAACGGGTTGAAAAAGTCACGTGACAGTCGAGTGTAGAGTGATTAATCATCATCCCGCCGCGCACACAGCCACAAATTGTTGAGAAATTCTTTTTTGGGAGTTATAGCTATGGCAAAAAATTTGTTTTGGTCACGTGACAAGCTAGTAAAACCTTAAAAACCAAAATCACGTGATAATTTTTTCGGCGAGCGAATTCAGTAAAAGCCCAAAAACTGTATAATTTCACGCTAACAGTTTCACCTAACCATGTGCTTTCGCGCCACTGTAGTGTTAATACTTTCAACACTACTATATAACAAATAATTTGAGGATGTCCAATATGTCCATGGCTTGCTAAAGTCAACTGCATCGGGGGTACTATGATGGTCCAGGGGGTGCTGAATCAGAAGACTGGCACGCTAACCTGTTAAGAAGTTAAGTAGTTGTAGTGAATAATGTTTCTGTTTGGAAATGTATAACTCCATTCACACCACAATCCACAATTGGACAATTGGACAACCCTGATTAATGTATAGATAGTGTTGAAAGAATTTTGAGCTTAAATCTTGAACCAATACTTCTGATAACTTTTGGGGCTGTGCTCCAAGAACAGGCTGACATATATATGGCTTATGGATTATATTTAATGTATTCTGATTAAATGATAGGGCTTGCCAGTCCAACCACCTCATATTTTTCATACTCACTCACTCTCTTGTCCCATGTGTCGTAGTCCGTCAGTCTGTTCAATTTTTCAATCTTTTGAATCATTTTGACTAATCCAGTTTAAATACACTTTCATTGTTTTCCACAACGGAACATTTGAAATTGCTATCTGCTTTTCTTTCTTTCCAGGGAGTGTGCTGGTTGGACGTGAAGGTGCCCCCTGGATTGCCTGGTACCCCCAATTGCTTCTACGCCATGAACGATACACCCACTGACTCTTCTCAATCTGTTCCGGACCAGACTTCAACTACTACGGTTCCGGATCAGACTACACCTGCACCCACGACTCCTACCATTATGGTGGAAATTGACGAAGTACTGAAGGATGTTGAAAATATAATTCTTTCAGAATACCACGAATCAGAGGAAAATAAAGATTGTAGCAGCCTCCTTAGTTTCTTCTCAGGGTCTACCCCCCTTGACAACTTCCTGTTGACTCACTCGCAGAGCCTGCGCTCAGAGGTAGATATCATTAAGCTCA